AACTTAACTAAAAATTCATCTCATCTTCCCAAACACAAAACTAAAATAGCCTACTAAAATAGCCAAAAAGCCAAATAGCCTACTAAAATAGTCACTTCCCAAACGAGGCCAATAACAACAACAACAAAAAATATTGATGAACACCTTAACTGCAGTGATGCCTTCCCTTATCGCATTCACTATCTCTTACACAATAGCAAACACCTGAACACCCATGAATATTCACAGAAAAAATAAAAAATATGCTAAGTATAAAATGTAGAAAATGTAGAGTTTAAGCAAAAAAATGTAGTAGAAAAAAAATATACAGATTGAGGCATATAGGTATGGTTCTTTTGATTGTTTATTTGACGGAAGATCATATGATTTTCCCTATTGTATTGATGAGTTTATGTCTAAAAGATTATTGAAGTAAGAATGAAGATTATTAAAACAAAATGGGCTTATCATGCCAACAGATTTTTTCCCAAGCATGTTGATTGTCTAATACAGATTTTTTAGATTTTGTGATTTTTTTTATTTTTTTTTATTTTTTGGTCTATGAGCAATCAGTTTATTAAACTAGGCTATGAACAAAATTAGATCTTTGATATAGAAAAACATCATCAAATCCAGAAATCAAATAACAAAAAATCTGTCCTCTATTCGTGATTTTTTTTTTTTTTTTTTTTTTTGTGGAAGTATGGTTTCCTTTTTGGCCATCCGAAAAGAGGTTGGAAGTCACTAATTTAGTTAGTTTTAGAAAGTGAGTTAAAAGTCATTTCCTAATTTTTAATTTATTTTTTTCTCTCACAAAAAATCAAAAAATAACTTTTAATTATCTTATCAGAATACCTTTATATACTACAAAATGAAGTATTAGAAATCAATTTTGTAGATGTGATTATGGGCTCTTCCTTTTCTTTTTTTTCCTTTTTCCTTTTTTCTCTTTTTTATAATTTGTAGAACTACGTTTCCTTTTGGTCGTACGAAAAAGGGTTGGAAGTCACTAACTTCTATACTACAAAGTGTCGTTTTGGGAACCATGGTAAAAAGCAGCGTTTTGAGCCTAGGGAAAAAATGCACAAGTCTAAAAAAACATAAATTATACCATTTGGGAAGATCTAAAAACACAACTCATCAATTTACCAAACTACCCTCGTCTTATGTAATTGGGGCCTAGGGCAAAACGAGTTCAGATTTGCCTCCTCCCCCCCTCTGGTAGCGATTTCGTCCTCCTCCTTGAAGTTGCACTTCCAACTCCCTCGAACAACCCACGACCTTGCCGTCCCTCGCCAAAGCTGCCGCTGAAATTGTCGTCCACGTCCTCGCCGTCGCTGGATCTGCACCATCAGGTAAGTCGAAAATCGCCTTCCATTGTTGTTTTCTCGCAAGTAGTGACAGACCCAAAACCATGACAACAGTTGTTCACGATTGATGGACCAGCTGTTGTATGATATTAACATTGAAACCTTGCTCCATATTCATTTCCACTTGTAATTTCGAGGTCTGTGATATTTGTATTTTCGATCTTCGGGGTCGGTGTTCTGTGTACTCATCTCTTTCGATCTACTGGCCTTCTTTCAAAAATTTGTGTTTCACTAATTTGTGATACTAGGTTGTTATGTGCGTGCATCGTTTGAAGTTTCTGTTTTGTGTAATCTATTGAAACAAAATTCTTCTTCTTCTTTTCCATTCTTGGCACGATTGAGAAGTTCTATTTTTTTGTTTTTGTTTTTTTTTTTTTTTTACCTTAACCATTACAGATGTTCATCAAGAAAAAGAAAATGTTATGTTCAATAGATATTTGAACAAATCAAAAGGACTTTATGGCATGTAAATGACCTTACAGTTGGGCTGAACCAGAGCATTTAAGCAAAACCTGAACAAATGCATTTAACAAATACTTGAACAATTTGTTAATAATCCATTCAAGCCAAACAATTTGAGGCAACTTGAGCATTTCTCAAACTACCGAACACTGTGCGAGTAAAACTACCACTCACATTGCACCAAGGGTTGACGCTTTGCTCTGTTATTTTCTCTTTCAAATTGACAAAAATGCAAAACAATATATAAGAAAAAAAAAATTTAATTAATGTTTAGAACAGAAAATCAGAACATGAATTAAAAAAAGCCTTCAATGTTAGAATAGACATTTATAAAACTCCAGCCAAAACTGTTTATTAGTGCTGAAGCTATACATATAGATTCATCAAATAATTGTGATATGTAGCATTATTGGAGCTATAGATTCAAAGAATTAGTATTGTGGATTTGGAAAATGGCTCCAAAGAATTAGTACTGTGGATTGTGTATTATATTGTTGGGATGGGGAGGAAAAGAATTAGTACACCATTGACATGTTGTCTGAGACCATTGTTGTGGAGGGTGGTTATAAAATTGTAGTATAATTGGGGACAAACTAGAGATGTGGAGTTGGAAGACCAATGGGGGCTTTCAACTTCCACCATTTGGAATAGGGAAACAAAATATTGGTCATTTTCATGTTATTTTGTTGTTTTATTTTACTTCCCAGACTACAGAAATTCGTACAACAATTATCTTGTGTATGTTGGAAAAAATGGTTTTTTGGTGACTTTAATTAAATATTAAAGTGGGTCCCAACCATCTATTGTGTTGGGTCCAAGTGGGTCTAGATACTTTGCAAAGAGATCTTTACACCACAAATAGAATGGCCAAAAACCATTGAGAATTGAATGAGAAATTGTCCCATGAAGTTAGCTTCATGAAAAAGTTAATGGGGTTTGTAACTTCTGCCTTTATTGCAGAGTTTAATAGTACATTAATGGGGTTTGTAACTCCTGCCTTTATTACAGAGGTTAATGGTGCATTAGTGACCAGCCATAAAGGCTGGAGGCTCCTCCTCTCTCCCCTATATATGTATAAATTGAGACCCTCCTGTCAAGTCTCAAACACAGAAATTGTTTCTTCCATTCTTTAATCAGTTTGCCAGAAAGTTCCTACTATGAGAGAGTGTTGCCACTGTTTTTGTTCGCTAAGCTAGACAGATCTGAATCTGTGTTCTGTGTGATCTGAATCTGTTTGATCTTAGATCAAAGGTAAGAGTATATGTCTGTTATCTAAAAATCAAGGTCTGAGTTATGATTCTAGATTCTTTAGAGTGATTTTTTAAATGATTAGGATTTAATTTTATAAAAATTGAAAATTAAATTTGAATGTTTGTGTGGTTTGTGTGTTTTGGAATTAAATTACACGCTGCAAGTCTTCTTCTCAATTTTGGTCTCTATTATATTCATTTGCTTGATTCTGTGTTCGTATCCTATTTGCGTTCAAATTGTGCTTTTCACTGTGGAAATTTTAGTCTTTTTGATTATATATAGGATGGTGAAAAAGTGAAATTTTCATTTCTCCCCCCCTCCCCCTTTTTTTGCTAATTGGAAGTGAACAAGTTTTTTGTTGGCTCTGTATTTGAAGGTTTTCGGTTCTTATAGCATGTTTGATTCCATTACCAGGAACTGTATTTTTTAAAAATAAATGTAGGAAATAAAATGACATGGAAATAAAATCATAGGGTCTTTTATTTTGTTCTGGATTTCTTCAATATGAAAAAAAGAATAATTGTTTGTGCGTGTGTTTAGTGAAGCAAAACAGTAAGGAATAGTGTATCATTGAAAAATGCTTGTTGTTCTAAAGTTTTCGGAAAGTTTGATGGTGAGTTTCGAGGAAAAAACAAATGTCATTATATATGTTTGTTTCTTTATTTTAGGTTTTTGAATTTTAAACAGTGGGGTCTTGCTGTTGGAAGTGTTTGTTAGTATGCCAATGGCTTATACTAACTTTGGAACCTTGGGGAAATATATATTACTTGTCATTTTTTTTATTCCAATTTGGGTTTTAGAACTGCTTGATGTAGCTTTATCTGCTTGTCATGCTTTAACAGTATAGTTACTTATATCAGCGGATTAGATAGTGAGCTAAGCTAAAATACTGCTTAGATGTTTTTAACAGATAAATTTGGTAGATGGAAATTTGAACAGTTGCCACTTCTACCACCCTAGCACCAAGTGTCTAAGAATTGGGTGTAGTTTGATTTGGTTGTTTGGAATTTATGAACTGATCTAACATGGTCATGACACTTCACTTTTTCATAGTTTGATTTGAATAGGTCATTGCGAAGTCACATACTAGGGGAACTTATAATTGGTGAACATATGCCAGAAGTGGGCGTGGTTGGGGTGATAAATGCATATGTCTGAATCAGCACAACTAAAAGGTGTAGCGATTGTGTTTGCATGGAGATGAGCCCCATACATACTAGCAAATCTGAAAATAATATTTGTTGTATAAATTTAGAAGTTGCTTTGAACAGCCTTTTTGAACAACACACGCAAGTGAGGGCAGTGGGATTAGCACCTTCATACAGTTGTTAAATGAGGATGTAATCGTCTTGTATTTAAACACATTTCCTTTTCGGTAGATTAATTATCCATGTGTCAGATGCAGGGGGATGTTCTGTTATTGTGTCTACCACACCAAGTTTTATAGTCTTCTAATGTATCATAAGATAGAACCATGAGAAACCCCTTATCAAGATCATATTTATTCAATTCCATAATAGAGAACACGGCTATAGATTCTAACCACACAGCCAACTGTATATGAATTTATCTAGTTGCTTTAGGTCAATATCATTAGCTCGTTATATAGCTATCTTTGTGGTATATACTGGAATCAAATATTTTTTACTACTATGTAGCATTGGTAAGCTGATGCTTTTGGTTGATCTTAAGAGGAGCTGAGTTTCTTAATATCCCGACTGTTAAAACAATGTTTTTGTTTACATCTTTGCACTTCCCTCCCTCTTAGTGCCACTGCTGCTGGTATGCTAGCCTAGCATTTAAGAATGTGATGATCTAGTGGTATGATGAGATTATGCGAATCACTAGAAACATGTGAATTGTATTAAATTTTGTTAAATTGCGATTAGAGTGGACTACTAATAATACTTATCAAAAGGGAAAACAAAAAAAAAAAGAAAAGAAAAGCAAATTACTCTTCGATTGAGTGATAAATTTTATTATTTGTATGTTTATATTCCATGGTCTTGCTGGCCGATATTGTAGATAATTGAGTTACAGCTGCCTTCATTTTTCAACAACTTTGATCCTCGTGCTGCTGCTGCTGCTAATTTCCCTTCAGGTAATGGACTTTCTAATTTTACCATTAGCTTCTCAAGTATTCATCACTGGGGTTTAGCTGGCTCTCGGCTGTGCTTACAGCTTGAAAGTGCTAACATTTTAAAAAATCTGACATGTCAGGTGTGCAATCATATTTGGCTGGGCTTACATTCGCATTAGTTGCTTCACCTTGCAGCACTCCTGTGTTGGCAACCCTGCTTGGATACATAGCTGAATCTAAGGTACTTTTAAATGTTTATTGATATCAATTTCCATCTGAATTATTACCTTTTCGGACTGCTTTATACTAGTCGTTCTGGGCCTATAATGATGGGTTAGCACTCTTATAGGAAGCAAAAAGTCTGCCCAAGAAAAATTTTGAGACCCAGGAGGGGCCATGGCCCCCCTTCATCCAAACATAGGCCCACCCTTAGATCCATCTTTTAAGTTGATAGTTTGCATAATGCTGTTCTGATATTTTGTTCTGGCCCTAGATGTATGTATGACATGATACTAGGAAAGAAGTAAATAAGAAGTTACAGGTTTCCACTGCCTAATGAAAAAATAAAGATGAGTTGGGAAAAGTTTTAGTTGTTGACACATGTATGGAAATGTAAGCATGGGGAGACATGATTGGTTTTATGAGGTGTACCATTGAAGTATTATAACGATTATTCAGTGAATTTACTATCATTCCTATTTTCATGTCTTTGTTTTTCTATAGTTATATTTCCTTTTGATGTAATTTTGTTTATTGTATGTTCTGCTTTATTTTCTATTGTTTATTATTCAATTTTTATCTGCATTATTCTACTTCTTGACAGATAGAAACTGTGACATAAGTTCACTGTTCTCGTGCATATATATATATTCTCTTTCAATGTCTGATTACAGGACGGTGTTAATATCTTGGCTGTTAATTATGGTTCTCCTGGTGCATGTCCATATCCTCGGCAATTGAAACTTGTAAGTTTGGGCCAACATTTTTTTACTCTCTCTCTCTCTGTCTCATGGGTTATTGTGATTGCAATTTTACTGCATTTGTTGAGAAAGAATGCAGAAGCTACATTAGATGTCTTTTTTCTGATCTCTTTAGGCTGCTGCAGTCAACACTTCTCCAAGAGGGAAGAAGCTGACCCAATTAGCCAAACTCAAGTGTTTGGAATCGGTTTCAGGGCTACCCTACTGGGGGCTTATATCCCCTTAATAAGCTTGTTCTTAGAAAATATGGTATCTAACAAATTTTAATCTTGGGAATGATTAGATTTTTAACTTTTCAATTTTGATTGTGAGGTGTTGTGGCTCAACATGATGTTTTAATTTGTTATGAATTCATTTGTTTCAACGATGTACAAGAAAAAAATTCATATTTTTCAGCTCTAAAGCGAATTATATCAAATCAATGGAGTAGATAGGTCAGGAGGGTCAGGCTTTGGTTGGCCAATTATAGTGGTCCTTGGGTTCTGTATCAAACCTTCTAACATGACTGATAAATTGGTCAGGTTTTGGTTAACATTATGGTTCTTACAAAGATTTCTCAGCCTTACAAAACCCACTTGGAGCCTCTGTTGCGATGAGCATCCAGTTTTTATTGTTCTCCATGCTGTATGAATATTATTTGAGCATGTTTGACCCAATTTTAATTGAGCTTGGTCTGATCTAATTTTGGAGTTTTTATGGCAGCATGAACTGCATGGCACGGAGTGGTGCTTGCTTGAGTCTTAACACTTTTTTGGCAAATTGACAGTATCATTTCTCAATTACCACTTAGCTTGCTTTCATATATTAGATTATAACTTCTGTTTTTCAATTACATTTGGAACAGGGAATATATGGTTATCCAATTGAGATCCAGGCCCTTTTCTTTTTTGCACTGAGGTGTGCACAACAAATGTTAAAACCAGAGGGTGGTGGCAAGGAATTGATTGAGCGGATTGACAAGAGGATTACAGCCCTGAGCTTCCACATACAAAATTACTACTGGCTTGATTTCACTCAATTGAATATTGAATTTGAACATGTACAGTTTAATTATTCTTTGTAAAATATTGAATTTGATGGCTTGATCAATTTTTATTTTTATTTTCTGTTATGATGTTTTTGTGAATGGAATGTAAATAATCAGCTCTTAGTGAGTGAGAGACGGCACCACCGTCGGAAAAAATAGAAATTTTTAATATTTTTATTAATTTTGTTATAGGTTTTATTTTTTGCGACGGTATTATACTGTCGCAAAAAATAGAAATTTTATTATTTAAAATATAAATTTTATTATTTTTTAATACTTTTTGTGACGGCATTACACTGTCACAAAAAATTAAAATTTTCATATTTTAAATATTTTTTGCGACGGCACCACACCGTTGCAAAATCATTGTTTTGCCGTTGCAAAAAAAGACTATTAGTGACGGTATTTTTTGCCGTCTCAAATACCATTTTTAGGGACGGTAAAATAGTGTCGTCGCAAAAAAGTTAAGAAATTTCAAACGTTATTAGCGACTGCACGGTACCGTCGCAAAAAGGTAAAAAATGCCGTCGCAAAACATTAGCGACGGCACTTACCGTCGCAAAAACTCTTTTGCAACCCCTCCAGTTGCGACCCCCTCTTGCCGTCGCAAAAAGTCATTTTGCCGTCGCAAAAAGTATTAGCGACGGCATTAAGAGTATTAGCGACGGTATTTCACTGTCGCAAAAAATCAATTTTTTTGTAGTGTTTCCACTTATCAAATCCATATCCGAAATCAACAACAAATCTAAGAAATCAACAACAAATCAAACCATGGCAAGAAATCATATATATATATATATATATATCAGTAACAAATCAAAATGAAGACGAAAGGGACCTCGTCGGTCGCCGCCTTCCCTTGCCTTGCTGTCGCCTCCCCTCGCCTAGCTGCCGGAGTTGTCTGCCGGAGTCACATCGCCTTCGTCTCCACATCATTTCGTCTCCACGGCTCTCTCAAAGACGGGTTGGGTTAGGGTTATGCAACAAATGAGAGAGAGAAAAAGAGGCTGAAAATCAAAGAGGAAAAAAATACAAAACGACTGAGAGAGAGAGAGATAAGCATGACTGAGAAGAAGAAAAATGAGGAAAAATTTGGGAAAATTTTGTTAGTTTTTTTTTTTTTTTTTTCAGACGAGGCAAACAGGTGGGTCTGAACAAGTCAAAATAGGTTTTGTATTAAAAATTTGTTTCAATTTTTGAAAATTATTTTTTTGAGTTTTTAATTAGTATTTTTTAAAAAATTTTAGTGAAATTTTTCAACATTTTAATCAATTAAAAAAATAATTAAAATATTAAAAAAATTCACTAAAAATTAAAAAAATAAGAATTGAAACTTGAAAAATAGTTTTCGAAAACTGAAACTAAACGAAATCGATTCAAACTCACCTATTTAATAAAGGGGTTTAAATGGGTTCGGTGGAGGTGGAGTGCTAGTGGTGGTGGTAGTGGAGCGCCAATGATGGAAGTGGAGTGGCAGCAACAGTAGTGGTAGAGTAAGGCAGTGGTGGTGGAAGAAAAATGGTAGCGGCGACAATGGTAATAGTAGTAGTGGGGCAGTGGTACGTGGTGGTGGTGGCGGTGGTAGTGATGCAGTGGCGGGGGCGGAAGCGATGGTGGAGTAGCGGCAGTGGTGGTAATGGTGGTGATGGTGTAAAGGTGATGGTGGTGGTAGTAAAGTGGCGATGGTGGCAGTGGTGGTAGTGGTGGTGGAAGAGAGTTAGTGGTGGCAGTGGTAGAGTGGTAATATCGGTGGTGGAAGATAGGTGGTGGTAGTAGTGATAGTAGTGGTGGAGTGACAATGGTAGTGAAATAGTGGCGGTTGTGGCAGTAACGGCGGTGGTAATGGATCCGTGGCAACAGAGATGGTGGTGGTGTTGGAGTGGTGGCAATGGTGGTAGAAAAATCCATTTAAACAAGTACTCATGTCTAACCCAAAAAGGGCTTTGCAAAATAGGAACTGATTTGGGCAAACAAAGAGGGCTTCTCACTTATAGTATGAAACGATGTCGTTTTGCATAATAAAACTATAGGAGACGAAATTATTTCCTTGTAGAAAATTTTGTACAATGGTAACGAAAATTTTCATCTCTAAAATGGCGCCCAAATATTCCACGAAATTTTCCAAGGGCGGGAAATTTTTTTGGGACGAAAAATAAAATATAGAGACGAATAAAATTTTCGCCACCTATTGTTTTATTGATTTTAAGCATTTGGTGACAAAATTTGGATTTATCTCTAAAAGTACTACAATTGGAGACAAAATCTTACTTTTATCTCTAAAACATGCATGTTCGGAGACAAAATTTTCTTTCGTCGTGCGTTTTCGTCACCAAAAACCTTTTTATTGTAGTGAAATCAGCATGTTTTTAGGCATCAACTACAGCAATCACTTGCTAGTCGGTTTCATTTTCACTCAGAGCAGGAGCATTCTCACGGAGGAAACGTACCAGGTTTAGAGTAGTAAGGTAGAACAACATTTTCTGCTACCATCTTTTAAAATCAGTTCCTAAAAACTTTTCTAACTTTTCACCGTGATTAACTAGCACAGTCACAACAGGGGAAGGGGATGGAGCAATTGTAGTCACCATACCAATACTTGTTTGAGTATTAGCTTCAGTAGCCATGAATTATAAATTATAAAACAAAATTATAATTAGAATTTTATATTACACAGAAAATTAAACCACAAACATAGAATCTAAATTCTGTAAAAAATAAAAGAAACAAAAATTGAAACTTTTATTTCCAATTAATTTGAAAATAAAATATTTATTTAAACAAATTAGTTCCACACAGAAAAATATTTTTGTAACGCTTCAAAAATTAAAATACTGAAAACAGAACTTCAATTAATGAAAACTCAAAAATTATTTCTGAAAATCAAAATTAATTTCTGACCATATTCACAAATAAATATTCTAAATTGTTAATGACTACCAATATATTACTACTATTTGTATTTTCCAACCAGAATATTATTTTGTATACGCATAGAAAATAAATTTCTGTAAGAAAGAAAAAGGAAGAATAGGAAACAAATTAAAATTTCTGTATAAACAGAATAATTTGATTCTGTCTGAAGATTGTTAGAACAATCTTCTGTGTAAAATAAATACCTTGAAACAAATTCAAACAAATAACAATAAATTACTTACATAATTTATTTTATCGAAATGAATAAGTACAAAAATAGATCAAGTCGAGTGTATGACACTCTGTCTTTAAGACAGATTGGGCCGTGCTAAGGACTAGGTTGTGGGCCGTGGTAGAGGCTTCGGTAGCTCGGTCTGGTAACGACTGACATTGATCCGGTCAGCTGGGTTGCCTTGCAGCCGACCAAGGTACTCATCCCTGATAAGAGTCGAGCTACGTTTAGCTCGGCCGAGAGCTTTGTATGTCGTTACCTTTATTAAGAGCACTGCAGAGGCACGCTAGCTCGATTAAAGCCACACCGACTTAACCGAGCTAGAAAACAATCTCACTTGGACAACAATGAGTAGGGAGTTATCAGGATAGGCATTATCCTTGGGAGTGTGATTCCTAAAAGAACTCTGCTAAAAAGAGTTGAAGTCCTACTAGGATTGTGCCAGGCGGACTCTATAAAAGCTCATGACAGGACCTATGTACAGGTATCGCAATTCTTACCCTTAAATACACAAAGTTTTTTGTCTATTGTCTAATCGCTGACGTAGGCATCGGAGGGGTTTCTGGCACACACTCACCAGCTAGATCACGTTTGTGCTTTCAGGTAGCAAAGCGACGACGTTTGGGGGAGTGCAAACTTGATCAACAGGATTATACGAGAAGATTATTTCATGCTTATACAATTGGCGTCGTCTATGGGAAAACACACAAAGAACAAAACCTTTTGATCAAGCTTCCTCTTTAATTGAGATCAATGGTGCATTGATCAAGCTTCCTCTTTAATCAAGATCAATGGTGCATAACGAAGACTTACCACATTCTGCCATTGATGGACAGACCCCGGAGGGAGGTGGGAGGCGCGAAGGATTACCTTTTGTCCCACCTATGGCAGAATTAGACCCCCAGCAACAGAACATGCGGAGAGACACACGAGAGAGATGAGGCTCAAGCCCTCGTCGCTCTCAAAGCCCTAAAAGGCAGAGGCGAAGGTTGGATCCACAGGTTCTGGAGGATCGCGTAAGGGAGCAAGACGAGTTAATACGAAGAATGGCGACAAACATGAAAACAGTGAAGCAACAAATAAAGAGCAAAAGGGTGGCAACGGAAGAGGAGCACAGATACAACACACTCTCTTAGCACTCGAAAGATCGTGACAGACAAGTCACACCGTCACAAGATGAAAGTAAGAGCCTCAGGACAAGCAATACACAATCAAGGACTTCTAGGACTCGTTACTCCAAGTCTGAGAGAATAAGGACTGAAAGGTCCTACACGGAATGAAGCAATTATTAGCCCTCGCACTAGCACCAAACGATGTCTAGGCACACGGAGTTGCCTAGGTCAGTGGACCTACGGACAGTGCTTGAGGAAAGGGCTCAAATGAGAGAAGACACTCGAGCGCGCGACCCCCGCAGAGTCTCTACACTACAACGATTGGCACCTAGGATGCATGGGAGTGTCAAGGTTGGAAAGCCAGAGTCACGCCTTGCCTTGCCTATGAACCAGCTAACAAAGCGCTAGCAAGGTCGCAGAGTTCGCCATTCGTTCCGGCGATAGAGAACGCACCATTACTCTCAGACTTCCACCAATCTAAATTCACTATTTATGAGGGAAAATCGGAACCCAACATGCACTTTTGCCGCTTTCGCCAGGTTATGGCAGTGTATCGGCGAAATAAGGCTCTAATGTGTATCTTGTTTCCTTCCAGCCTTGGTGACCTAGGTCTAACATGGTTTGAAAGGTTGCCAAAAGAAAGCATAGCCTCATGGGCGCAGTTGGCAGAGGCATTTGTGACTAGATTCAGAACAAATACCAAGACACCGGTGGAAATAGACCAGCTACTCTCCATTGACATAGACGAGAAGGAAACGTTGAAATCTTACAACAGTCGATACTGGGAGACTTTCAACTAGATTAGGGATTGCCCCACAAACCTCGCCATCACACAGTACAAATGGGGTTTACCGACAGGTAACAAGTT